TTCAGCCTTCTAATTACCATCATCCACACTCTCTTAGAATCTTTTCAAATATGTGAGCAGTCTCCCCAGAAAGATTAGTGGGTACCAAAAGCATTTTCCTGGCCCAGACCGTGGCCCTCAGGGCTGTCCTTGGACAATTGCTGCAAGGTCCTTGGAACCCAGTGCCTATTTTCAGAAGGAGGGGGTGTCACACCCTTCCCACCCCAGGCACCTTCTAAGTCTTCCTCAGCCTAGCCACGTCATCTGGAAACTTCCACTGCCCCTGCCTGTTCCCGTTACCCCACTCTTTGTTCCTCAAGTCCTTGAAACATTACTATATGACCTAACATTTTCTCCCATGACTCCCCTAGCTCTTCAGCCTGGGTCCTTCCCATTTCAATCCCAACTCAGAGCATCCTCTGTTCCTTGTCCAGTTCATTCTTCATCATCCCCTCACTCACAGCTTTCCTTAGCTCAAAGCAAAAGCTGCACTGTCCCTCCCTTTCCCTGTCTGGTCACTCAGCTCCCTTGGGCTATATATAGCACAGCTGTGCCTTAGATTGTGTAGAGCTTCAAGTCTAGTCCCCTCTCCCCACCCCATTAGCTCCCTACAACACGATAGGGAGCCTGAAGCTTCCAGTTAGGGCGGTGGGGGTGCGGGGAGCCTGGCAAGGGGCGGGGGGAGGGGAGGGGTTGGAGAGGGACAAGAAAGGTGTGCTGCATTGTGGACCACCCAGAACACGGTAACCTTCCCATCTGTTGTCAGGGACTTTCCCCTTCTCCCCCTGCCTGCTAGCAGTTCCCTGCCACTTGCTCACTCTGGAGGACAAAGAGCAGGCAGTGTGCAGGGTAATTTTAACAATCATCTTATTTAACCCTTACGATGATCCTATGGGTCACTGCTATCTCCAATTTACAGACAACATAGACTCAAAGAGGTTGAGCGGCAGAAAACCAAGTATTATATTTAGAGGGTGGTTGGTCAAACAGCTAACTGACCCCAGGTCTGACTCCGGCCTACACTCTGGACCCACTAAGTCTGTCAGCATTATTTCATTTAGAGCCCTATAAATTAGAATTTCTATTAGTGTGGCCTGATCTGGAAGAAAGAGGTTTATGAAGCAAATTACTAATGTAAAAATGCTTAAATCGAAATAATTATTAAAGTCTTGGCATATTCACAAAAATAATGTTATCATAATTTTATCTTATCTGTTTACTAAAGCAGGACTCTCTAGAAATCTGTTCCTTAAAGTTTTAGTTACTGTGTATTCTCAGAAGTTTCTGAAATAAAAAGCAATTTTATTTCTTCTATTTCAGGACTTCCCTCCCACTTTACAGTCATTCTCCCATTAGCCCAGAGCAGTGAGTGAGATTTGATTTTAGGAATAGCTAGAAGTGTGGGCCTTTTTCTTTCTGTGACTTCCTGTGTCCATTTAACCCAAGCCTCAGTTTTGCATCCGTGAAAAGGAAAGAATAACCGTAATAGTACCTACTTCCTAGTTACTGTGAGGATTAAATAAAACAATCTATTTAAAGCAATTAGCACACTTTTTGGCTCATAGGTGCTCAGTAAATCATAGCAACTATTATTTTCTCAGTTCTGGGCTGAGATGCTGTGGGAGTGTCGATAAAATCTCAACGAGGAGATGTTGAACTTGACCTCCGTAGCATGGTCCCTGTTCTCCAAAGGGCTCGGAGTTGATCCTGATTCTTGCTTTGTCTCATCCAGACATTTACACCCTGTGCCTCTGAACTAGGCCATCCATCTCCTGAGAACTCAGGCCACTGTTGGGACCAGGAAAGACAGCATGGGAGAGTATGTGAATGACTGGGAGGCGAGTTCCCATGGACGCTGGGGAAATGTGAAGGCCCTGGGGATTTGCTGTGACCCTGGGTCTCTTCCTAGAGCAGTGAGTGCTGGGGACGAAAAAGAGAGACATCAGCTGCTGGACACATTTCCAGTGCTGAAAATCCCCTTTAGGACACACGGGCTTGAGTGATCCCACACAGGGCCTGGGATGGAGTGGGACTCACCAGAGTACGTCCCAATCTTTCTCCATTTGCTTAGCAAGAAGGTCCTTTTTCTTCTTTTTTTTTTTTTTTAAAGATTTATTTTATTTTATTTTATTGGGTAATTGGGGGGATGGGAACAGTACTGGGGAATTAGGGGAAGGGGAACAGACAAGTTGCTGTCGTTTTGTTCTTCAATCTAGTTGTGGAGGACGCTGCTTCACTGGCCCAAGTTGGCACCATCATTGCGCTCTTCCCTGGCGAGACAGATCAGTCGCCGGCTTCTGGACGGCCGCTCACTGCGGCTGCTGGCCGATCACGCTGACTGCTGGCTACACACGGTAGCCCATGGCAACCCACTGCCACAGGGGCTGCAGCCTAGCCGTCCCCGGTGACTCCCAGCAGCCCACCTCCAGGTTGAGCTGTTGTTCAGCATCTTAGCTGTAGAGGGCAGTGTCACTGGCCCTCATATGTGGGATCCGAACCGGGGCCCTCTGGCATCCCAAGCGAGTTCTTAACCATCGCGCCACTCGGCCGGCCCAAGGTCCTTTTTCTTCTAATGGAGGGTACCATGACGGATTAGCATTCCTAGACTTCATTATCCATCTAGAGAGGGTTTCGGCTTGACCAGCCTCCCGGGAAGGAGGTTAGGAGTACAAACTTTGGAGCCCGTCAGACCTGGGTTTAGATCATGACACTGCATTTACTAGCTATGCAGCCTTGGAGAAGCCATTTAGCCTCTCGGAAGCTCGGTTCCTTTGCCTATGAACGAACTGTTATTCACCGTATAGAACAGTTGAGAGGTTTGACATGTACCTAGAACAGAATAGGCACTAACGCTGGTCACTGTCATCTCTAACCTGAGTGAGCCCTCAGGCCATGTAAAGAGCTCTGGAAACGGGAGGGAAGTCCCACTTGTCTCAAATTCCTGGACACATCTCCTTGGTCCAGAAAGCATCCTTAAAGGGATCAGACCAAGACCAGCAAGCCTGCCTCCCACAATTGGAGCATTTTATTTACACCCCACCTTGTTCCTAAGAGTATTTGAGGTAGTATGACTTGAGGGGGAACCTAGGATCCCTACCCATCCTTGCCTCTATATCCCCATCTCAGTTCTTCACGTCAAGTCCATCGCTGATCCAGTCACTTACGCGCATGTCCACAGGAATTAAAAGATTAAGTCTAGCTCAGGGCTCCCTTTCATTTGGTCTTTCGTTTACTCTCTCCAGTGCCTGGAGCCCAGCCTGAAACTCAGCAGATGGGGGGTTAAGACTGATGCCCTATCTCCTCCCCTCTCCATTCCTGACTTCAAAGTCTCCATAAAGCCTGACACTGCTTCCCTGACCCCATAGTGGCAGCTCCATCATCAGCTCTTGGCCGGTTCAAAGCAGCAGACGCTGAGCCCTGGCCTGGCCGCTCACGGTCCGCTTGCTAGCCATCTCCTGGGGTAAGCACCAGCATGCAGAGGACCTGTGGGGTCTACAATCCTCGCTCCTCCAGGAGAGGGGCAACTAGGAGTTTGTCTCATGGTTAGGCTTAGACAGAAGGCAGCCCACAGGCAGAGCCCCTGGTTTAAGGACCAGGATTCCGGGGCTCTGTCTAGTTTGTGATCAGAGCAGACATTTACAGGAGTAGAACTATAGGCGTCACCAGCCCAGGGATGGAGGCAGGGGTTGGTATTTGCAAAGAACCTGGCAAGAGATGCACATGGAAATGGGAGCAGATGAGGAACCAGAATTTGTCCCGTTACTATACACAAATCCATGTCCAATTACTTGAAGCTCTGGCTCTGGCGATCGGGTAACTGTGCTGTTAAGTCTGCGATGGCTCTGGCTCCCTGGGGCTACATCCCGCTCTGTAGTTCCCTCAGGAGCAACTGGCACAAACTCAAGGCCAGTGGGGGGTCCCACGGCTCAAGGCCTTTTCCTCCCACCCTCATTTGTGGATTTTTCCAGCTGCTTTTCTTGGCCCAAGGATGACACCCATAGGGATACAGATGAGGGAGGCGGAAGCAGAGAAAACAGTGAAGTCAGAATGAGTTTGGAAAGAGGCAGATGTTAGGAAGAGATGGAGAAATGATGCTAGTGGTCCAGCCATCCGAGACAGGGCACCCGGGTCATCTTTTCAAGTAGCGGCTGTGTTGGGCATGGTAAGAGGGTCTTAGGTCTTAGCACGCAACTTCGTTTCCATCCCAAACAGAGGAGCACTGGAGTTCTGATGGTGGGGTGTCTCCTTCTAGGACTGGGCTGAAGCCTAGGAGCTCCAGCTGCTAACATCTGGAGGCAGGATCATGTCTGCTAACAAAGGCTGGTGGGTGCCACCTGAAGGTGATGACAGCGTGTCTGAAAAGTTCCTGAGGAAGAGCAGGGAGTCTCCGCTGGTGCCTATAGGTGAGTGGGAAAGGAAGGAAAGGGGGGTGGGGAGGGGGCCTTCTCTCAGATAACATCTCCTAGAATGAAGCAGTGGTCCTACCCACTGAACAGTCAACAGCTAGAAGAGGAGTGAACCAACAGGAGGTGCCAAGGATAAAAGGCCAGTCCCTTACAATGAAATAAGGGAGTCGGGATGGGTGGAGGTGGCAGCCAAGAGTGCATGGGATATGGAGAAATGCAGGACACCAACTCCGTCAGGAGGGGAAGGAGCAGTTTGGGGTCCCCCAGGGCTTCTTTCCTCAAGACCCTGGGAAAGTAGGAAAACAGCTGTACCAGGATGTGGGGGGGAGCCAGCAGTGGTTGGAGAAGGGCCCAGAGCAGTTAATGGGGGTGGGGGAGTCATGACGACGGACTATTTGTTCATGGGGAGGGGAGTCACTGGAGGGAGGCAGCCACTTTGAAAATGCCATCTAAAGGAACCCCCCTTCCCCCATGAAGCTGCACCAAAGCAGCTGTTTACCCAGATGCCCAACCTGCCTAGTGAGACAGATCTCTCACTGAGAGAGTGATGTGCTTGGTAGATGAGGCCCAGGGGTCATGTGCTCTGACTACAGGCTTAGGAGGCTGCCTGGTGGTGGCAGCATACAGGATTTACCGGCTGAAGGCTCGTGGTTCCACCAAGATGTCCATACACCTGATTCATACCCGAGTGGCAGCGCAGGCCTGTGCTGTGGGTGCAATCATGCTAGGTGAGTAGCTTGGTGGGGGGGTCACAGGAGAATGAAGGCTGTGAGACCTGACAATTAAGGGGCCAAGGTTTCAGTCCATTCCCTATATCAAGTCCTTGGTACAGAGACATTATCAGGGTTCCCTGTTTAATCTCCTGCCCTAGGCCTGTGGGGACAGTGTGCAGTCCGTTTCATGAGTTTGTCCTAGAGGTGAGAAAAGCCATGCTAGATGTAAGAAAAACCATGCAGTAGAATATATGTTGCATTTCTCTTCCTCTCTGGAACAAGAGGTGGACAAATCCTTCTCTGCTCAGTTGCCCCACATGTAACATGATCACACCTGGCTCGCCTCTATCACAGGCTGCCGTGAGCTTTTGCAGATAGAAATACACGTGAAATGCTTTGTGAACTGTCAAACGGGTTGTTGCCTCAAGCTGTGTGGTCAGGTGTTTGGAGCAGCTGTTGAGCCCTAGGGCAGAAAGATGAGCAGGGAACCTGGACTCTCAAGAGACGGCTGCAGACAGACCCCTAGGGCTCTGCAGTTGTCACTCCGCTCTGGGACACCTGGGAGTCAGAGGATGGGTGAAGCATTCAATGCCAAGGGCTGTTTATCCCTCTCCCTCACACAGGTGCTGTGTACACAATGTACAGAGACTACATCAAGAGAACAGCACAGAATGCCGGAGAGAAGTAGGGTTTCCACAGCCCGGGGCAGTCAGACCCTCTCACAGCGATGGCTGCTATGCTCCTAATAAAGGAGTTTTGTGGAAAATCGGACAGTCTCTTCTTCACCTGGGGGACAGCAGAGTAAGGGACTGGTAGTGGCTGGTGGGGGACTGAGAGCAAAGGGTTGGAAATCAGAGTTTGGGCTCCCAACTCTGGGGCAAGTGAGGATCTCAGGGGGGCAGATGGGGCGGTGCACTAGACCTCCGATCCCAGAAACCCAGCAATTCCCAAGTCAGCTCAGGTCCCACCCAGAGAAGCATGGTAGGGGACAGGACGCCAGTGGGGAGTGGGGGCAGTGAAGAGGCCTCCATGCTCATGGAAACCCTGAATTAAGAGGCAGGCGCTCCTCCCACCACAGACTGCTTCCCTGGGGACCCAGGCAGGAAGAAGGCTGCAGCTGGGAGCAGAGGCAGTGAGGCCTCACGGGAGACAACATGCATTCAGAACCCAAGTACCAGGACTGGACTGTGCTGGAGGATGGGGGGCGGAGGGATGGGGATGAAAGGAACAGAGCAAGGCAGAGGTCAGAATGTTCTGTTCACTTATAAACCATGGCTAAGGTCAAACTTGTTAAAAAAATATTCCATGTAAATCCTGAGGACGGGGCCCGTTGGGGTGAAACACCTCATCCCCTTCTCCTCTGAGCCCAAGCTCCTCTCTGTTCCCTGGGAATGGAGCCAGGCAGAGGCCACGGAAGGAACCAGGAGGCCGAGTGCGCCTCCCTCCCTGGGCTCTGGCTTGGAGGCTCTTGGGCTATTCAAGATGGCCACGCGGGTCCCAGACACTTTCTGACAACGTGGAGTCCAAGACACACTAGGTCCCAAGACACAGCTTCCAGTCCAGGATGCAGGCGACTGCAGGGCGCAGGAGCTGCCAGTAGTCCCGGCATTCACATGGGGTAATTGAGCACAACATCCTGCTTGGCGAGCTCCAGCAACATAGGATCATCGAAGAACTTGCTGATGCTCACGTCTTCACTCAGGCCCTACGGAGGGAGGGTGGGGTTAACGCGAGAAATGAGCCCTGTGTGGTTGCTGACTGAGCTGGGGGCTGTCTGAGACCTGTGCTTAAGTGGGGGGCTGTCGGGGTGGAGTGTGCACAGAGCTGTTTCAGGAGCCCTGCCTTTAGGGTGCTGTTACTGGGGAGAAGGCCCGCCTTTCCCAGCCAGAATGGGCCCCAGGTTTGGTTGCCTGAGGCCTACAGACTGCATCTCTCTACAAAGTACAGTAAATTGCTCTTAGTCTTTGGGAGAGGGGTCCAAAAGGAAGAAGAGGGATAAAACTCCTGCTGAGACCTCTGGGGGTGGAGGGTGGGCGATGGGCCTGAGGGACACACACCTTCCGACGTCGGGTTTTGATCATGAATTCACGGGCCAGGTGAGGAGCTGGCTGTGGCTCCAAGGGGCGGATGACAATGCTCTTGTCCAGAGGGTCACCAGGCACGATCTGAAAGGCAAAGGGGTTTCAGACGGTCCACACAGACCTCCAGGGCCTTTGGGTCTGGAAACAGGACTCTTCTAGAGGAGGTTGGAAATGTCAGTCAGGACTTGAAAGGGGAACAGGTCAGAGGGGCCTTGTACAGATGGGAGGCCAACTCGGCCAGCCTGCACCATTTTCTCACCTGCCAATGGTGGAAGACAGACAAGGAAAAGGCCTGCCCCTGGGTGTGAGTCCGCAGATCAGTCTCAAAGCCAAAGGAGTCAATGGCCGGGATGAAAGCTTTGATGGTGTAGAGAGGGGAGCCTGGGATGGGTGCGTCCTGAGTCACGTGGCCCCTGAGATAGATCAACAGAGGCTGAGTCCCTAGCCCTACAGAGGCCAAAAGCAGAGAAGCAATCTGTCCTCAAATACATCCCAACCCAGAATTACCACCAAAGAAAGAATAACGGTGAATGCACTACAGAGGGCAGACAGGGCTGGGGCTCTCAATGTAATTCCCTGTGGAGGTCAAAGGGGCAGCGACCTCTGGGCCAGAGTGGAAACACTGATGGACAAGGTTTCACAGACATTCCCACCACCGGCATGCCTGCAGTACTCTCCCAGGAACTCTCTGAGGAGGGGGGCTCAAGAAGGAATCTCAAATTTTAATCCACAGGAAAGCTGGGGATTTCCTCATTCCTGTTCTCACTTCCTTCTGAAAAACCAGCTCATTAGGTTTCAGGAATGGAGAGGGTGGGGAGGCTGAGTGACTTTCTGCTCGGCTCACCTGCGCCTGGCCAGGACAGTATAAACAGCAGAGACACAATCTGCAGGGGCCTGCACCTCCACAAAGTAGTAAGGCTCCATCAGCCGAGGGGTGGCCTGCAAGAGAGCAACAAGAAAGTCTTCCTCTGCTTGGGGAAGGCTGAGGACAGAGAACCTGATACAGGGAAGGGGCGGGGCCCGCCCAATGCCCTGGAGCAGCACAGCCCCACTCACTCACCATGAGGAAGGCAGAATAGACGACTCTCCGGGCAGTGGGGATGATTTGGCCCCCGCCCCGGTGCAGGGGTTCCTGGGCAACTACTGCATCTAGGATCTTAAACTTGACGTTTCGAATCACTGAAAAGGAGATGGGAAATGACTGAGAAGTGGTTCTGGTGCGAACAAGAGCCCATGGGCAGGGCAGCAAGGAGCCTCTTGTAGCCCTGTAGCTGTCTTGTGGCCACAAAACAGGGCACAAAATCGCCCTACAGATGGGTGTTCTGATAGGATACCCAAGGCCTGGAGCAAAGATATCAGAAGTTAAGCATGTTCATAGTGTTTGTTTCAGGCCAGGCTCAGACATCATAAAGCGTCCCTCCAAGTTTATGTGCTTCTTTGGCAGACATTTAGTTGTTTTTGGATGTAGAATAAGATACAGGAATTGCATATTTGTTTCCACTAAGTCCAGTGCTGGTCTATAAGCCACTCCAATCCCACCTTCCTCTTGATACAGCTCTGATAACACATTTCTTAGGAACGAGGAACAAATGTCAAGCTAGAAATGACTTCATTTCCAGGATGTACTAAGAGGCAGCAACAGGATAGGGAGGTAGAAGGATGAAGCTGCTCCAGGACACGGGATGGCTCTGTGTGCCCCCAGCTTTTCCTGCCAGGTCTCAAAGGTGATCCTATCCCACTTCATACACCCGAATGCAAGGACCCAAGAGGACTAAGGTGGGAAAGGTGGAGAAACTGGTAGACTTACACTCATCACACAGGGGTCCTTCCCTGGTTCCCCACTGGAAACCTTGAACAATGCTGTCCTTCACTGAGCCGAGAAGAGCCTTGTCCACCTGCATGAAACATAGGGCCCTTTAGTAGCGACCCTGGCAATAGCCGAAGCGTTTAGAGGGAGGAGAAGGCAGGTACACTGGTAAGAGGATAGTCTTCTTTACCCAAAGAGAGAAAATACTTTTTTTGGGAAAAAGAACACATTGTTGTTTCTTCCACCTGGGCGAAGAGACCACCACCTGTCTCCCAAGAGCTCTGTCGTACCTCAGAGGGCAGGGTATCATCCACCAGGATGTTGGGGCCAGTGGCATCAGGGCCAAAAGCCCAGATGGAACGAGCAGCCAGCAGATCCCAATCGTACTTGGTCTGGAAGAACTCTCCCAGCTTCTTCCTGGGGGGAGGAGGAGACGACGGAGGCTCAGCCAGCTCTGTGACTGCTGGCTCGGGGGGCCTAGGATCCTGCCTTTCTGGAGGACAGTCGCCTCAGCCCACCTGCACAGCGCCCCGGATAATGGCAAAGTGGGAGACAAAATCCCATCTCAGGATGTGTGATATTAGAGACCCGGCAGGTAAGCTGTGGCGCCCGTCTTCCTTCAGCCCTGGAATCAGAGCCTGGACCTCACCTGTTCCACGTGATCTGGACCACCTCGTTCTCGATGTCCTCGGCGAGGCCCTTCTCAAGGGGCTCAGCAATCATGGTGATCTTGTTTCTAGTTAAAAAGGAAACGAGTAATGAGGTGGTTGAGCAGGACTAGCGTAACGGCCATTCCTAAGAAAAGGGTGACAGCTAAGGCAGTGACATCAGTGAAAGCAACAGGGACAGAGTCGAGACAAAAGTGCTTATCTGTCTCCTTTCATTTGAATCTACCACTGTTTTAAAAAGTAGGGTTTGGGGCAACATTTTAAGATGGTTACACTATATAGAAATGAGAAGTGGCAAGTCACCCTGGCATAGAAAGTCTTACAGAAAAGGATTCCATAGCATCGTGTCCAAAGTCATAATGAATCAGAAACCCAGGCTAAAACCCAAGTATCCTAAGCACCCCCATCCCAAGACTTCGAGGTTTCTATTTCCCTAATATTTGTGATTGTAGTGGAGTTGGCTGGGAGGGAAGAGTGTCCCCTGTCAGTCCCAGGAACATCTATGACCCTCAGCTTACTTCTTATTGGGCGTTTCAGCAAAGCACTTGAGGGAGGATGTTTCCACCACTGTCTCACAAAAGGTGACAACGGGGTCAGCCACCTGGGAAACAAGGTAAATTATTAGGCAAGGTCTAATTTTGTTGGAAGGACAACCTTCTGCCAAAGGGAATTCTGAGGGCCCTTAAAACCACCTCTGTGAGACCCCGTCTTACTCAGCATCAGTGACAAGCATAATAGCAGGCTAAAAGTCTGTACCATCACTAAGAAGCTTGAGAAAACTTAGTGTAGCAGCATTTATGTTCCGGAGCCAAGAGTACGTGGAGATCGAATTCAGGCCTAAATTACAGCCCCCCGAGGTGTCTTTCAGCATCTGTTCAGCCATCCCACCACCATTCACTGAATAACTCCTAGGGTCTGTCAGAGCTGGTACTAAAGGCTGACTGGCTAATACCTGTTCTGTTCTCAACCTGTGATGTCTGGGGAGCATGGCTCCTCCCCGAACCCCCACTTGGCCTGCTCCCAGAAACCCAGCCTCTTCTATAGCACCAGTCCTGGGCACATCAGAAGTGTCTAAAAGGGGTACTTGAGGGTACTCATCCCTACCACGATACCCCCTGGAGAAAATGTGTGTCTCAACTGGGAGACTGAGGCCATGGGGAACATCAAGACTTGACAATTAATCCAGGAGGGCCAGGACCCACTCGCTCCTTGAAGCCATCTGTGAGCCCTCATCACCACAGATGACTTAATTGTGCAACTATTTTTTTTAGACAAATGACCAACAATAACTTTGGCTTGAGAATCTTGATTTCAAATGTATGACACTGAGAATAATCCTGCAGAAGAGGGCAAACCAGATCTCAAATCCCTTCTCATTTAGGGAGCAACAGGTCATGCTTTTCCCAAACAGATCTCCTCTCCTAATGCACCTTCCTCCCTTGGACCTTCCAGGGAAATCAAGGGTTTGGTTGCTTATAAAATCAGTCTGGAGCTATGAACCAAGCCCCTGGCTAGGCAAGTGCTCAAGAAAGGGGCCGCTACTTCACCTTGATGTCTATCTCCGAGTACATCTTCCGCAAATCATGCATCACGCAGTCCAGGTAGAGCTCCCCAGTACCCAGAATCACGTGCTCACCAGACTCTTCCACCTGAAACACAACAGCCCTGGTGGTCACAGCCTGGCCTCTCTTGTGCCAGCAACAGCAGACAGAAACAGAATCAAGGCTGGAACCCAGGAGGAGGTGTCCAAACCCACTATTAGAAACAGCCACTGCCTAGCGTCAGTTCCAGCCTCTTCAAGAAGGATCAGTGGGGAGCAGCAACCTATGAGTCAGTCCTCAAGACTTCTGGATCACTGAGCACAGTGCTACTGGGCGGAAGGTCACCAATGTGATGATTCCCATCTCAGCCATTCAGGGAAAACCGTGCCCTCCCTCTGGCCATAAGCCGACCCTTTAGCCCTGGCTAACTACTCAGAAAGATATGGTGGTGGGCTGAAGAGTGCAGAAGGGTCAGAGTGACTCACTTTTTCTTCCGTATTTTCTGGAAAATCAATTCAAAGTGTATTCCCCAAGGAACAACTCTTTCTTACTAGACTTGTGGAAGATGGACATACATGTTTGCCCTCCTGCCCACGGGTCTCATCCTGCCTTCAAATGACACTGACAGTTAAGGATTCACTCCTGATACAGTGTGTTGGAAGCAGCAGATCAGAGACACCTGAGGGGCGCGAAGCAGTGGGCAGCACAGACCACTTAGTTGGGGCAAGTAGGGCTTGGCAGCTGGGGCAGGCCTCACGCGTACCTTGGTGGTGAGGGAAGGATAGCTTTTGTTGACCTTGCGCAGACCGTCCAGCATCTTGGGCAGCTCGGAGGGGTTGACTGGCTCCACAGCAATCTTGATAACAGATGTGGTGTTGAACTTCAAGGGCCGGAAAATCTGAGCCTGAGATCCAAAACGCAGAGGAGTGAGGGCACAAAAGTTACAGAGTAAGAGGGGAGCTGAGGACCCACTTAGAAGACTATTCTCCAATCAGGAGCCACGGGGCTGTTTGGAGGCCACCTGAAGGGCCATTTATTCCCGTGTATTTTGGCAGAATAAAGAGAGGAGGGAAAGAATAAACGGAACTCCTTCTAATTTCCAGCATCTGAGCTGAGTACAGGGAGACTTCAGCAGGGTCAGATCTAGAAGGCTGAGCCTGTGCTGAGGCCTGGAACCAGGAAGCAGCATTGATCCAGGTTACGCCCCTGCGAGTTCTGCTGCTTGTTGCTCACGTGGGCCTTGGTTCCTTGTGACCCTCTAGCTTAAGCCAATCCAGCTGTCTCTTGAGAAGCTCTTACCTCCTCATTGCCTCGGGGTTCAGTTATGGTCGCCGTCTTCACAATTGGTTGATCGACACCTTCAATCAGAACCCAGTTGCCAGCAGGAACACGGTTCACCTCAATGTGGTACCTGGTGCAACAAGCAATAAGTAGCAATGAAACTTGGGCAGAGTATTCATTCCATAAAAACGTACTCAGCGCCTGCTGTGTGCCAGGCCCTGAGCGAGGAGCAGGGGTTGAGCCAAAGACATACATTCTAGCAGGGGAGGGATGCAATAAACAACCAATCATAACTACATATATATGTAGTTACAAACTGATGAGTGCCATGAAAGGAAAGTGCAAAGTATTATTAGAGGACAAGACAGGAAAATCTCATTCCAGTTGGATGTTGGTGGTAAGCAAGCTAATGCCAAAGGCTAAGAATGTAAGGAGATGCCAAAAGCATTGCAGAAGACATTGCAGCTCTCCTAGCCCTTCAATTTTCTTCTGTCTTCTAGTGAGTGGGGTGGATTTGGAGGCAACAGGGGCCATGGGCAAGGTACGGCAGCCACATCACGAACAGGACTGCCCTGGTTCTGAGATGCCAAACATACGAGCTGACAAGCAGCCCAGGGACCCAAGCAAGTTTGAGTCTGCGGATGGGGCTGCTCCAAGGGATCCAGCAAAGTCTTGTCTCTTGGTTAAAGAATAGTCAGTGGGGGTTCGGAAACAATTTCTTTTGGGAAGAAACATAAAGGTTATGACTTAAGGGACACAGAAGAGGAAGAGAGGATTAAGATGAGTAAAAACAGAAATGCTGCTACAAAAATCCATACAAGCCATCCAAACGCAAAGCAGGCTCTTGGCATCACCCCAACAGTAGCTGCCTTTCGTCCCAGCAATGCTGGGTAGTAAGAAATAGAAGTCAACAGATCTGCTGAGGGCGGGTCATCTTAGCCCCTATTGGGGGCAGCTACTGTGTTTCCAGGAAAGACCACTTCTTCTAGTTCTTTGGGGGCAGTTCCAGTAGAGGCCAGGGCAGGCCCCTGGGGGCTCTGGTTGGCAGTACCTGGCCACGGAGATCCAAAGGCGGCCCACAGTGCATATCTGGGAGTCTTCCTCATCCTCAAGGGTGTAGTTCTCCCCCAACACCTTCACAGGCTGCCCAGCATGGATGGTGCCACTTAGCACCCGGCCAAAGGCATGAAATTGAACTCCGTCATCTGTGCTGTACATCTTGGTAGTGTGGCACATCAGGGGGCCCTGGAGGAGGGGACAGAGCGCAGCCTCAACCACACACGCTCTCTGGGTAGGTACCACTGTCTCCACTTCTTTGACAGCAATGACATGAGCTCTGTGAGGAGGCCGCCCAGACCTAGAGGAAGACATGGCCAACTCCTGGGAAAATTCCAACCACGTTCTCCCCGCTGCTTCATTAATAGATGTTAAAGCCATAGCAAAAAAACTCTTTTCCTTTTTTCTAGGGGAATAAGGGCAATAGGGAAGAGAAGCAGGTTTAGGATGGCAGACTGGCACCTTTAACTTGGAAGGTTACAAGACTAACTTGCTCCAAATTTCCTCCGAAAATGTAACTCACAACTCTCAATTGGTTGTTATGTTTATGTCGAGAAACTAGACTGCCTGGGGAATGGTTGGGAAAGCGATTTTTAAAAGCTGGGACTGACCAGATTAGCAACCATTTGTCAAATCTTTATCTGTCAGGCACCAAGCTAAACACAACTGTAACACTTTCTCAATCCTATTTAATTCCCATAACAACCACACACATATTATTATCCTCATTTCATAGACCAAGACCCTTAGACTCAGAAAGACTGAATAATCTTCCCAAGGTCATACCACTAGGAGCGGTGACATCAGGTTTTGAATTCAGGTCTGTCTGACTAGGCTTATGGGAGGGCCATTCTATCCCCACACCGGGGGGGAAAGAATCAGAGAACTCAAGGGCCGCGTTCCCTTACATCAGGGTCACAGTCGCTCATGGCCTCGCCGAGGTCTGAGTCCACGCCGCCGGTGTAGGTGTGCTCGATCTTGGGCTTGGCGCCCACCTTTGGAGAGGGGATATGCTGCACACACATGTCCACAAAGCCTGTGGAGGAAGAGAAAGCCATTACACCCTCACAGGGGGAAGGGAGTGGCGAGTTACTCATCCACTCATAATGGTCAGAAAGCTAAAAGTGATTGGACTTTCTGCTCTAAAAGCTATGATATTATGATTCCAGGGGGAAGTAACACCATTTCCTGAGAATATGCTGCTAAAAAGCTGGAGTCACACTGATACCAGGAAGAACAAGAAGCAGGTCTCAGTGGTTCCTTAAAACTCAGCTGACAAAAATTTCCAAGTATCTTTATGAATCCATAACCTTTTATGGCATNACCCCCGCCCCCACCCCCATAATCCCCAGTTTCAGTTAACCTGCTGGACACATTATACTGTTTCTCCCTGCCCACAGGGATGCTAGCTGAAGCAGAGTTTTTGTTGTTTTCAAAATTTTTTGAATAGGTAATACAAGTGTAGCATAGAAGGAATAGTAAGATGAGCCCCCATGAGTGTTTCCCACCACCCCATTAGCAGTTTCTTGTGTGTTAATGCTGGAGCTTAAATTAAGGTCAATTTACTTGCAAATGAGGCGTAGGCAAAGTCTGCGCAGGAGTTGAGGTTAAGGAGAAAGGTATGGGAGATGAAGAGACCTGCTCTGATACCCCCACCAAGCAAGGACTTTCAGACACACCCAGATGCAGTGGGCTTGCCCAGGGCCCACCTTGCTTTGGTGAGAGGTAGTGGGGTAGGTGCACAGTCCTTGAATGACTGGAAGTCCTGGGTTCAGAAGTCCACTCTGCCCATCTGTTTCTACTCTTGCTTATTATTGGGTTGTCGGAAAAGTCATGACGTATTTTTTCTACGTTTTTCGTTGCAAAAATGCGTCATGACTTTTCTGACAACCCAATAGCATTTCTAAGATGGTGCGAGAATGAAATGATGAAATACACATGAAATCACATTTTTTTTTTAAAGATTTTTATTGGGGAATTGGGGGATGGGAACAGTGCTAGGGAATTGGGGGAAGGGGAACAGATAAGTTGCTGTCCTTTTTGTTCTTCAGTCTAGTTGTGGAAGATGTTGCTTCACTGGCCCAAGTTGGCACCATCATTGCGCTCTTCCTGGGCGAAGCAGATCAGTCACCGGCTTCTGAACGGCCGCTCTCAGCGGCTGCTGCCCGCTCATGCTGGGTGCTGGCTACAAACGGTAGCCCATGGCAACCCACTGCAGCAGGGGCTGCAGTCTATGCCTTGCCTCATGGCAGCCTAGCTCCAGGTTGAGCTGTTGTTCAGCATCTTAGCTGTAGAGGGCAGTGTCACTGGCCCTCATATGTGGGATCCGTACCAGGGCCCTCTGGCATCCCAAGCCAGCTCTTACCCACCACGCCACTCGGCCGGCCCTGAAATCACATTATTGTTATTTGTTCATTTTCTACTGTAAAGTAGTCTATAGTGCAGCAGTTCTCAACCTTTCACAGGAGTCGCCTAAGACTATCG